AGTAAGGGTCGGCGGATTTATGCTTGTCTGTTATCATCACTGTGTAACTATTTATTGTCCGGTTGAATTTGAGAAGGAATAGTTCAGTGTGTATACTGATATAGACGCGATGTTGGTGAGTGAGATAACGAAACTAGCCCGGTAGCGTCAGGAAGTACAACTGTGTCTGTTCGTCCCGTTGTTACAGAATTGGGAAATCCAGCATATAACATAAACAAGGGATACATTTCTTTTTACTCACAAAGATCGCTGCTTGTAGATTTATTTTACCCCCGGGAGTATATAGATATACAAAGGTCCTGTCCATCCGTCCGTCCGTCTGTCCGTCCGTTCGTCCGTCCGTTCGTCCGTCCGAAAATTTTGACCGCGCGATTTTTCCGAAACTATTCAGTGGATTCATCTCAAACATAGTACGTATAAACTTTGTCAAACGGAGCGGTGCAGTCAAAAGAAAAAAAAAAATGTTTTTATTAATTTTCCATTTTTCTATGAATTTATCAAACCCTAACCCATCCTAGGTATTTAATATGAAACTACTGACACACTGGGCGGGTCCGGGGTATTAGTGAGCCACGCTCACTTTTGCACTTGTTTTTATAATGTTTTACATGGATTTGTCATGGTTCTCACGCTTCACTAAAAGATAATGAAATTTGGTACTTTTGTTGGTGGTAGGTGGGCCTCAAAATGTACCTGTAAATGTCTGCCATCTACACATTGTTAAAATTGAAAACCATAACGTTGTGAGTGTGTGGTATTTATATAATCATGAATCGTACTAGGAGAGTTACCTCCCTTATGCTAAGCGTACTGTATGTTTACTCCATTGCTCTAACACGTCAATTATTCACGCTGTACAAAGTCCTCACACCTCGCAACATAGAAACCAGACCAACATTCACGCCTGTCTCCATGATAACAGTGAAACGTGTTAAGGACAATAATTTACAGTAAGGACTGTTTTCGAAAATAGTTTCACTATCATTAATGCATTACATATGTACACATATACTTATACATGTGAGACAAACATATCGTTTATTATAAAACAATGTTTACATCTATCTAACTCATTACTCATCATACCAACAAGGACATGTTTAGTGTACAAATGTACAGTTAGGAATCGTTAAACCTTTAGCCTGAATTGTTTTATAGGGACCATCAGTCATCCGTCCATTGTAAAGACTTCCGCCAAAAATTATATATATATATATATATATATCATTATATATATTTTTGAAGGGGTATACCACCGGAAGTCTCACCTTTTGCCATAAACATTGTTTTAAGCCAGCCATGGGTATTTATGGCTACATTATTATTATTTACTAAAACAGTAATGAAATTTGGTACTTAAAAATTTATCTTCAGGTTTGTTTTGGCGATACAGATACTATTTCATGCTTTTCGTCAAATACCATGTACTCATTAAGTGAAGTTTGAAAACCATAATGTAAAAGCTGTTTTTGTGGCGCACCAGAGGAAAAGTGCACCAATACATGTACACCACAAAGTGACAATCATGGCAGAAGGTCTGTGACCAACTTCGTCACAAGTTTGTGGTATGATAGTCAAACAAGAACATTACAGACATAATGGTGATATTGTTTTGTAATATGAAAGTTATAGGACATCACGTAGTCAATACCACACGTTGAAAGGCTGTTTACTCATTTTCTTTTGTTCTGCTTTAACGTTGACAGATAACCCAAGGGAGACAACTTTCAAGGGCGGTAACTATGGATGATACTTGTTCTGTCATCCCAGGGCCATGTTTTTTTGTATTTTCACACAAGTGAAAGTACTGGTGTTTGTTTTCATGACAGTGAAACATGACTTTTGATGAAAAATAACAACCTTTATAACTGTATCTGTCACACTCATTTCTATAATAAATGTATTGTTTACAGTTTTTACTTGCAGAGATTTTACTGAAAGCTGGCACCGATTTGACAAAATATCCAGGTGAGCTACAGTGCTGTGGCAGAGAATTCTCATACTTGATACAATGATACCAAATGTAAGGCTGTCCTCCAGGCAGACACTGTACACATCAGGACTTTTTTCTTGTAGGATGATGATGAGTTAGATGCCGACTTAGATTGAAGACACTGATGAAAAACAAAAAAACAGTGAAGAATGTTCAAAGACTGAGTCAGAACGATCAAGGCCAGATGGATGATAGTGACACGGAGTGTGGAGGATGTACACCAGCAGAGTGCCCTGGGAAGCACAATGACGGTGACACGTCATCAGACGGGGAAAACATAGACCTTGCAGGTATTGCCTTGGACAACCCTCAAGGAACAACTGAAGGAGCAGGCTGTACTACGGAGGGTGCAGAAAATAAAGATGTTGATGAAGAGAGTGCTGACGAATGTCTGTTTGATGACATCACAGATGAGGAAGAGGGGGAAGGAATAGAAGACTTGTCACAGCTTGGAGCAGGTACTGTAGCGGTCAAACTCCAGACTGTTCAACAAGAGTCATATCAACTTGTAGAGAAAGGTTTGTATGAAGCAATTTCACTTTGCTTGTTGAGGATGCTGTTTTAAAATCCCACCATGTCAGTGGCTGTTAAAGACAGTTAGATGCTACCTGAGGGATTGAAGCATGTGGACAGGAAAATATTTTTCAATTAATAAGATAGATACTAGTATTTTGAAATCCTACTCAATTACTGAAATTAACATGTGTTTTCCAAAGAGAACACATCACCAATCGCACCTGAAGAACCACCATAGTAAGGTGTAACTGCGAGATAGTCCTGTTACTACCCTTTGTATCACAACGAGGGGCGGTCGTGAAGCCAAGTGGATAAAGCGTTTGATCGTCACGCCGAAGACCCAGGTTCGATTCCCGACATGGGTGCAATGTGTGAAGCCCATTTCCGGTGTCTCCCACCTTGATATTTCTGGAATATTGCTAAAAGCGATGTAAAACCATACTCAGCCACTCACTGTATCACAACGTATTCAATGTATTTACTACTGCATTAACATTTTCAAGTAATTACAATAGTGTGCATATTAGTTTCGACAAAATCCTGTGGAGCCTTGCACAATCCTTTATTCCAATGTTTAACTCACTATAACTGTTTGTCAGCACGGCTAGGGTGGTGAAAATAAACTTATTTGGTATGGAGCTACAGCTGCAAAATCAGATTTTGTTAAATGAGTCTTAATATGTTTTACTTAAAAACACCTTGTAACAATGTAATTTTAATGGGGGTTTGATATTGAGCTACAGCTGCAAAACCAGATAATTTATATTTTAGAAATATGTTTCAAATAGCTTGAGATCCAACTGTGACATGCTTGTTCCTTCGTAGATACCACGACACTAGCACAACACATTGTGGGATGTTGTCAACAACCACAGGGAGAAATAGCGTCAACACCACAGCAGGGGACACAACTCCAACCAGCTTCAGATGGTGATGTTGATCAGACAACAAGCCAGGCACAATTGTCCTCAACTACATCTTGTGTAGTTGCTCACACAACCAGTCTACAGGACCCGACAACAGCAGCCATGACACCAGCGTCCACATCATCCCTTCTACCCAGAATACCAGGATCTGTTGTATCAGAGATACAGTCATCCGGGCTACCCGTGGTACCAGTGACTGGTGATTCTTCTGTAGGTGAGTGCAGATAAACATGGACATGACTAATTGCTCAAATATCTAATACCTATAACATGGTGTTTTCAAATGACTTTGCTTTTTTAAGCTAATAGGCTATGACAGTATTTCCTTAATTATTTTACAGGGATGGCATTAACCCTATACAACCACTATACAAGGTCTAGCTCTGCTCAATTGCAGGTTTTCCACTTTTGAGAACAACCGAAACAAGAAAGTCACCATTTACGAAAATAAGAAGAGGTTATCACGCGAGTGTGTTTGAGGATGGTAAATATTCTGCATTAGGGATATACATTGTATTTATCGAGCCTTGGCGAGCTAAATACATAGTGTTTATTCCTAATACAGGATATTGACCATCCACAAGCGTGATAACCTCTTTATCATATTATGTCATTCTTTAATTCTGTGCTTGAAAACTGCTTTCCCTGTCTCACAAGCATTATAGAAACATTGCGAGTTTTCCTGAAATGCGAGCATTAATATTTATTGAGTCACAGGGTAAGTGATGTGACAGTCGGACAGCGACAGAAGCCAATATAGTTCCAACTGAAATCTGTTCTTATACAGTGGCGAAGCAACATATACGCAAAACAACAATTGTTTTTACTTGCCTTTCGCGGCAATCCATCGGTCTGTCCGCTAGAGTGACTGCCCTTTGTCAAAGGGAAGCTACTCTAACCCTAGTCTATTAGACGTCACGCCCACGTTTAGACGTTGTTGACAGTCGGCCTATCCTGTCATAACGTTAAGAAGTACAGTCAGATGTACACACAGCGACAAAACGAAACAAGGTAACAATCCAAACATAGTTCGGCCAAATCCAACTATTTTAATTTGTGGAAAAGGTTTCAAGCTGCAGAGGCCTACAAGCACAGATATGGCTACTGATCCCGCTTGGCTAGGCCTAGTGCCCTCGCAAAGTTGTTTGGAAATTTATATCTCCAAAGTTACCAAAAGATGCCTTAGCTACGTTACAGTTAGACACTGATTTTCAGTATATTAGACTGATCTTTTGATAATGAGTGCAGTTATCCCTGTAGTTTATCCAGATGCCCAATGGTTAATTCTGACTCGATCGCCGAATGACAAGGGCGACGCCATGTTTGTCCCTACCTGACCTTTGATATTTGCATCTCTACTCACACATGACCCCAACGGATATCGTTTTTATCCGTTGGCTTTATCCTGCCGAGAAACCTACCCATTATATGATAAAACAACTTATATGCCGTAGCAGTTCGATGTCTGTTTATGACAGTTGTCAGTTTTCAGTATCATAAGAGATATCTAAGTTCAAATATGGAAAACAACCCTGAAGGCTTAGGTTATATGGTTTCTGTTACAGTCGCCCAGTACAACCTTATCCAAGTACGGCAGCAGTTTGGAGATGTGACAGTCCAGGGCGCCAAGAATCTGAACATTGGCGGAACGCAGAACATTGGTACACCTCAGACCAACCCAGAGGAAGAGGAGAAGCCACTGACTGCTGCACAGAAGATCAGGAGTAAGTTAGCTGCTCTACTTGTTCTCACAAGGATCGATCAGCTGAAGGCGTTTTCTAGTAAATGCTGACTGTAATAATCTTCATATTCGTTACAACTGTCACCTCGTGTACATAGTTTAAGTGTTCATGACTACAATTAACTTTGCGTTTTGTAAGCAAGTGATAAACCTAGTAAAGCCACTGAAGTATTATTTTTTGATCTCTGTTACATTTTACATAATGTTACATCACTACAGGACTATATACAAACTGTAGTGTGTCCATAGGATTTGTTCGTCTAAATCACTCAGATCAAATGTAAGGTCGTGTCTAGTGATACAACATACCCAGTAGATTTGATACAACATATATGGCAACTCCTAAGTACCTGGTGGATAAAATCAACAAATATATAAGAATCAGAATTTCTGTTTAGATTGGAAAAGTGAAAACAAGGTAATTTGGCCCAGACGTTTATCTTAGGCTTCAGGTATATTAGTGATCGGATATCAGTCAATGATCCTTTCACTGATTTAGCCACCTGAACTACAAATAAGGGAGACCAGTCAGACCGCCTGGGCTGTTTTTCGTATTTAGATCTATGAATGAAGATGCTGAGTGAAACAACACCTCTCCATAAGACTGTACGACAAGGGGAGTGACTTCAACTTTCAATAGTAAAATGTATCTTTATGCCAAGCAGGATACTTACCCTCACCTACTTGCAAGGACCTGGTATCATCACTATTTGATAGTGATCATAAACAGGTGCTTATGATATTTAGACAGAATGATTCAGTGGACTGTTTCTTATGAATATCGAAATGGTTTTGTCACTTTAATTCTATACTTTGGTATTCTGGCTGCTTCGTTCATATGAACATTCTGTTATGATCCACAAGCACAGCAGGCACTATTCAAACATTACTTAAACTGTCTGTCTGTTCAGAACAAATAACTTGCAGACCAATATCGAAAAACATAGAAATGCTTTGAAAAGCAGTGTTTCAATTTAAACAATTTGAAGGTGGCACATTCGATTCAAGAGGTTTTGTGCAAACTATTGATTGTATATCGACAATATTCAACATTCACGGGATGTATTTAGTATTGTCCAACCTCTCAGTGAAATAATGTAATATGTTACTGATTTTTTTACAGTCCTTGTTGACAGAATTATATTTCATAGAAAATTTGTAAACATTGTAGTCACGATATGGATGAAGTTTTGTTAAAATGTTAACTCACTATCTCACTGACACATTTCAAAATAAGGGATCTCAGAGTCAAACTGTATGTGATTGATAACTTTATTCCTTTAATCGAGGTCAAATTTAAATATGGCAGACTGTATACTTTTACACATATTTTTATATAGTTTTATATATATATATCAAATGTGCCTTGCTTTCACAGAAAGAACGGAATCTAGGATTCAGTCAATGACTAAAGACATGGTGGAGACAGAAGCCCTCCAGATAGTGACGGAGAAGCTGGACAGAGGAGCAACGTGGGTGACAATTAAAGGAAGGCCAGGAGAGGGGAAGTCTACATTAGCCTACATGGCCCTCAAAGATCAGCACACTCAGGGGAGACAAGTGTATCAGGTGGTGTCACCAGAAGAGTTCAATGAGGTCATAACGGCCAGCACAAACCCTGTCATTATGTTAGATGACATATTTGGTGATCTAGAATTTGATGTAGCAGAATGGGCCAAGTGGAGGCCAAGTCTACGACCTTTTGTGGATATGAAGGATACAGACAAAACCACTGAAAAAGACTCTATAGATAAATCCACTAAAAGCAAAAAAGAGAGAACAAAGGATGAGCAAACAATTCTAAAGAGAACAGCACCAAACAAAGGCAAAACGATCATTATCCTCATAGGCCGTGACTATGTGCTGAAATCCTCACTGGCAGACTTGGGAAGGGTGGCAGATTACATATCTAGTCCCCAGTATATGGTGGAAGTTTCCTCACAGAGAGACTCTAATGAACGAAGGAAGATATGGCATGTTCATGCCAAAACAAAAAACATAGACTTTGATGAGTCAACCGTGTCTCGGATATGTCAAACTGACTGTCCACACGGCTTTCCCCACGTGTGTAAAATGTTTGTCACAACATATGAAAAGGATCAGACTCAGCTTCCAGTAGATAAGTTTTTTCAAGCGCCTCTAGCATTCCTCAAACAGACCCTAGATAAATTCCTTAAAGATGAGATAAAGGTTTCCCTGTTCAAGGCTATGATTAAAAGTGATGGAAAGATTAGTGGACAAGAGTTGGAAGAGCAGGATGCCCATGGATACAAATACATAACAGCTGCTGATGATTTAGTTGGATCTTACCTCAAGAAGGAAGATGACACATACATGTTTGACCATCCCTCTCTATATGACTGTGTCGCTTTAATTCTCAGTACAAAACAATCAAAGTTTGTCATCGATTTTTGTAGTTTGTCATTCATCCATCAGCGACTTCGTCTTAAAGCCTCCACAAGACCAGGGGAAAACGTTCCTGGTGAGACAGATCTTGTTGCAAACATCTCATGGAACTATGCTAAACATCTAGCAAGAAGATTTGCAACTGAAATTTCAAGGAGCAATTTGTTGCATGTCTTATCGCACCAGGCATGTTGTAATCCAGAGTTTATTGACTTGCTAATGGTCTGCCTGAAGACACAGTGTCACATGTCTGTTTCTGATATTCTCAAACTAGCTGATAACTCTTCAAAACAGACATTTTGTGAATTAATTTCTAGCAGCAAGTCACATCATCTCATCAAATTTATTATTGAGAAAGAACACAGAACATTCAGCCAGCGTGAACTGAGATACATTTTACTTGGGGTGTGCATGAATGCTGCTTGCAGTGTACTGACCTATATCAGTGAACACCATCAGCTTGAGATAGATGCTAGATATGTTTGGGGATGGAAAACACCGCTTATGTTAGCAGCAGAAACCAAAGACACTGTGTTCGTTAATCAAATTCTGGCCCTTAAGCCTAACCTGAATGCAAGAGACAATCACGGTCAAACTGTCCTTCAATACCTTTGCGCATATGGCCTTACATCAGCTGTGAAACATGCAATTAACATGGGCGTGGATGTTAATGAGCAGAATGTACCATTTTTTGGTCCTTACCCGCAAACCCCTCTATATCGTGCCATAACAAATGGTCATGTTGAGGTGGTGGGACTGCTGCTGCAAAAAGGATGTGATATAGATAAACAGAGAGGTCTTAAATGTGCATTGAAGAGCCAGAACACGCATATGACGCGTTTTCTTTTAGACAGAGGAGCACAGGTTGGTGGTGATGCTTTGCACACTGCTTGTCTGTTGAACAATTTGTCTATCATCAAGATGTTGTTTGAGGAGGGTGCTAAAGTTGACATGATTTCATCTGCAGGGGATACTCCTCTTCACGGTGCATGTGACACTAATGTTGTCTCGTTTTTGTTGGAGAACGGAGCTAACGTGAATGTCATGAATAAAAGGGGTGAGACACCACTTCATGGAGCAGCAAGGAATGGATATACAGAGTGTGTTGATCTGTTACTGAAGGCTGGAGCTAATGTGAATGTACAGAATAATGCAGGTGACACACCACTTCATAACGCAGCAGCAGCAGCAGAAGGCTTGGGATCTGCAGGGTGTGTTAATGTGTTACTGAAGGCTGGAGCTAATGTGAATTTACAGAACAAAACAGGTGATACACCACTTCAAAAAGCAGCAGCAAGGAATAGATCTACAGAGTGTGTGGATGTGTTACTGAAGGCTGGAGCTTATGTGAATGTACAAAACAATACAGGTGTCACACCACTTCATACAGCAGCAGGAAAGGCATGGTATGGATTTATAGGGTGTGTTGATGCGTTACTGAAGGCTGGAGCTAATGTGAATGTACAGACCAAAACAGGGTACACACCACTTTATGCAGCAGCAGCAACGGCAGCAATAAATGGATCTACACAGTGTGTTGAGGTGTTACTGAAGGCTGGAGCTAATGTGAATGTACAGAACAATACAAGTGAAACACCACTTTATGCAGCAGCGTGGTGTGGATATACAGCGTGTGTTGATGTGTTACTGAAGGCTGGAGCTGATGTGAATGTACAGAATAATACAGGTGACACACCACTTCATAAAGTAGTAGCAGTAGTAGCAACAAGGGGTGGATCTACAGAGTGTGTTGATGTGTTACTGAAGGCTGGAGCTAATGTGAATGTACAGAATAATACAGGTGACACACCACTTCATAAAGCAGTAGCAGTAGTAGCAGCAAGTGTTGGATCTACAGAGTGTGTTGATGTGTTACTGAAGGCTGGAGCAAATATGAATGTAAAGAATAATACAGGTGACACACCACTTCATAAAGCAGTAGCAGTAGGAGCAGCAGCATGGAATGGATCTACAGAGTGTGTTGATGTGTTACTGAAGGCTGGACCTGATGTGAATGTCCAGAATAATGCAGGTGACACACCACTTCATAAAGCAGCAGCAGCAACAAGGGATCGATCTGCAGAGTGTGTTGATGTGTTACTGAAGGCTGGAGCTGATACGAATGTACAGAATAATACAGGTGACACACCACTTCATACAGCAGCAGTTGCAGCAGCGAGATATGGATCTACAGGGAGTGTTGATGCGTTACTAAAGGCTGGAGCTTCTGTGAATGTACAGAACAATACAGGTGACACACCACTTCATAAAGCAGCATGGTATGGATCAACAGAGTGTGTTGGTGCGTTACTGAAGGCTGGAGCTATTGTGAATGCACAGAACAATACAGGTGACACACCACTTCATACAGCAGCAGCAGCAGCAGCAGGGGATGGATCTACAGGGAGTATTGATGCGTTACTGAAGGCTGGAGCTTATGTGAATGTACAGAATAATACAGGGAACACACCACTTCATAAAGCAGCAGGAGCAGCAAGGTATGGATCTACTGGGAGTGTTGATGTGTTACTGAAGGCTGGAGCTTATGTGAATGTACAGAACAATACAGGTGACACACCACTTCATAAAGCAGCATGGCATGGGTCAACAGAGAGGGTTGGTGCGTTACTGAAGGCTGGAGCTAGTGTAAATGTACAGAACAATATAGGTGACACACCACTCCATGCAGCAGCAGCAGCAGAAGGGTGGAGATCTACAGAGTGTGTTAATGTGTTACTGACAGCTGGAGCTGATGTGAATGTACAGAACAATACAGGTGACACACCAGTATTTCATTGACCAGGACATCCAAAACCTTATCAGAGATATGCCACTGTTATTAGAAATAAATGGTAATAATATATATAATCCCAGTGTCATTGCTGAGAGAAGGTTATGGATGTCGGACAGTTTGTGATATTAGCAAGCTCTTCTCCCTTAATCCTTTGTACCACTTCGTTACTGTTGGTGTGAGGGTTTTATGTCGTTGATGGATGGTTTTTTTGGGTTTAACACCGCACTCAGCAATATCCATGCTGTTTGATGGCTGTCTGTAAACATTATAGTGATTGACACATTATAGTGATTGACATCATGAGCATCGATCTTTGCAATGGGCGATCTTGTTCAATTCATCTTCCTTTCACTCACCCGGCTGGTGCACTGACTTGGACCGTCCAACCTTAAACTGACGGCGCATGTGGTACGAGCGGTACATTCCACGTCGCTTTGTTGATGGTTTGCAATCGGTACTGAAAGTGATTGCCTTTGATGTTTGAATATCACACTTTTAGAAATGAAGTAGATTTTCATTGTATATATACCCATATCTATGTTGTAGTATCGCCAATCACGCTACATCATATGCATGCATTTCAGTACAGTGGTAAGGCGATGGGGTACGCGAAATGTGAAGGTCTTATGAAACGTAAAGTTACAAGTTGCCTAAATGTTGTGAATTTCGACAGCAACACATGTAAGTATTTGTCAGGTATATAAGTGAGAGAAGTGTGAAATGTTTTCAAGAAATTGCAAAAGAAAATAGGCAGTGACAAATAATGGCATCAGCTAGATAGCACAATACAATGTTCAATATAAAACAAATGAAAATCACTTAAATCGATCTTAATATTTAAGGGTTAGTTAGGGCCAAAAAGAGTTTATAACTTGGACACATTTAAGATCCCCACGGTATCACCATATGTACAATTGCTGAGTAGAATGAGAGGAATGCAGGTTCTTGCCTTCCATTATATGCACATTCTCTGTCGGAATATAGATTGGTGCATGCATATGTAGCAACAATTTGATTTTGATTTTATATTTTTGATGCCTTTCCTATTCATCTGGAATTTTTTCAGTCATTCCTTATAAATATTGTTTCAACTTCAATAAACTTGATTTGTATATAAAAAACTTTGCCTTTGTTTTCATTAATGTTCCACTCCTGAAGTGAAGTTATCCTAATACTGTGATGTACCGCAGCTTTTCCTTTTGACCGTTACTACAGGACAGTGACAAAAGTTATTTCTCATTGGATGTTAATTGACTTTTTATAAAATTGATTTGCTTGAATAGTCCAGAATGGCTGATTAGATTTGTACTAGTTTAGTACATAAATTTGTCCGAAACAACTCAGTGTTGTATAAACAAAGTGGGTGGGGCTTAATAGCTGATTTACCGGTGAATTTTAGAAGTTGTCTTCCCATACAGATGGAGTTGAAATGAGGTTTAACGTCACGTGCAAGATTATTGCAGATATACAGCGACGCACATGCACGAGTGTGTAAGTGTTTGTATGGCTGCTTGTACTAGTCTTGATTGATGCCGATTTATAGTGCTAGTTCACTGAGATACCATGCCGCAGTTTGACATTAATAACCCATTCAGACACAGTATACTGACTCCGAGCCGAGCAGTCCTTGTTTTAGCCCCTAAATGCCGAGCGCAAGACAGGGTAACAACAAGTATCGTCTATCGTCTTTTGGTATGATGCGGCCGGGGATCGAACCCCGGACCTTCCGCTCCCCGGGCGGACGCTCTACCATTAGGAGACGGAGGCAGTCATTTTCACCGCCTTTGATACTCGGTATTGTATAGATGGAGTGGGGCCCGAGGGGAGAAAGTGAATCCAAACTTGGAATCTATATAGACATATGCTTGACATCATAGCACAAATTCATTCATGTTTCCAAAATCTGCCTCGGAGTCTGTTTCCATCCCTGGTGACCGGCTCGAAAAGGTCTTTTTATGTCACAATTACCTGACAGATCGTCATCCCCATCGTATATACCCAAGCTCATCGTTAGACAATACATCCATGCTTCCAGGACTGGCCCTTCTGTTCATCTGTCCGGCACTCCCAAACGAGTTACATCCAGTGTGCTTTGACAATCATTGGATGATTGTAATACAGATAGAGCTCATTCTTAATTTCATCAGTCGTCTAAGGTGCTGCGATTCGCTGTGCAGTGTTGTGTCCCTTGGTAACTGCTAACGGCAGTGACGCTAATTGACCTCCCCTCTCACTGCCTCTCACTCACTTGATGATTCGACCAATATGTTTAGTGTAATCAGACAGGCACGTGTACCCCTGCAAGCCAGTATTTGTTTTGCACGTGCAAGACGCTATTTGATTGTTTGTCATCGTACCCGATTGCGTCAATCACTATTCATAAAATCAATCACCGGATTGTCTGGACTATGGTGTTAATTGCGTCTTGTTTTGGGTGAGTGAGTGAGTTTGGTTTAACGCTGCTTTTGACGCATTTAAATTGTATAACGGCGTGTCATCTTGAGATGGTGATATAAGTGATGGAAATATTCGGCGTTTAACACTTTGGGGAACTAAAAGAGCATAGCTACGGTACTGACAAACCTAGAAACATAATCATGGTGAACGGGAGATTAGCTCAAAGCCACATGCAGCCATATTCCAGCCATACGGAGACACGCGTCAACCAAGTCAGTGAGCCTGACCACCCGATCCCGTTAGTCGCCTCTTATGTCAAACATGGGTTGCTGAAGACATATTCTTTTTGTTTTCCTGCCTTTACGGACCTGTGATGAATGGAAATAACTGATGTGAGCCCTCTGAGTATTTATGACAAATGCACAGACAGGTCGTTTTATAGACTGTGACATGTTGCAAACTCAACGGCGAATGATCGACACACGCTTGGAAAACACTTTGCCACCGATCGACAACCAGTCACCGATAAAGCGGCGGTCGATCACTGCCTCATCACTGATCAAACACAACTGGGGTTGCAAAGAGTCAACACCCTTGTGCACATGAAACGGATCACTGCATATTGGAAACCAATCTGCGATTAAAATAACACCGCTTGGGGACCTCTAGGCCACCAATGAAACCTCCGAGCAACCAAATAGGTCGCAGCCAGTCTTTTGTGCATGTTCAAAGGACTGGTTGCGACCGAATGGCTTTTGCGAGCGCTCTGAAACCTTTCAGAGATCCCCGAAACCTCATTGCGATCGTCAAATATTTTGGTCGCCAAGAGGTTGCATCGCGGTCGCATTGTCTGTGTGACTGAGGTTTCACTGTGGTTGAGTAAATGTTTCACCTGACAAAATAGGGAAACATATGGTATATGTCAAAATAGGGATTTTTTTCGACAGCAATTTTGTCACAGATGCGTCATATTTGGAAATATCCCCACATGTCTACCGTAAGACGTTTGAGAAACATGTTAGTTTTGCAACACAGTGGTGGCAGTTTTGGTGTCCCGGCCCAAACATTTCCTTTGTATAAGGAGCTAACCTTCTACATAAACATCAAGGGACAATCCATTGGTCATCCACAGCAACAGAAACGCAACAATATTTAGAGAATTCATTATTTAATGAGGAACAATAGATGAAATACATTGTTGTCTACATATTGATATTCAATCTAATAGATTGGATCGTTAACACATATATACTGACCCGCAAAAGAATTGTCACCAGGGATAGATATATGAGAAACCTTATTTGTCCAAACACTGTAAATAGAGAATCTCACCAGAGTGTCTTTTGATATCAAATATATCAACACGAGTTGATAAAAGTAGGAAAACTCCGAGGCTTGCAGAGGATCTTTTCCACTTTTATCAACGAGTGTTGATATATTTGATATCAAAAGACACGAGGGTGAGATTAAATTTATCATCCAACATCATTCTTCCAACTTCAGTTTGTAGAAAGTAATAAGCAGTGTCTTAAGTGTAAAAAGAACTGCCAAAAGCTTCAGTAGCAGAGCCATTAGTGATGTCATTTGATTGTGACGTCATGGTAACCAATGACGTCACAATGGCCTGCAAATCATTGTGATGCAATATCATTGCAGCGATATCTAGTGTAGATATCGCTTGATCTCTCCCAAGCGATATCACCTGTGGGAGCCAGTTATGAATGATAAACATACTTTGAGACATATTAATGTGAGACAAAATGTTCTTAAAGTGAAACACAACACTAGTTTATGAGAAAAAGACATCAGAAGTCAGTATCTCGTGTGTCCGCCATGTGCATTGATGACTGCCGTGCAACGTCGATACATGAAATGGATGAGGCGGTTGATGAAGGCCATAGGCACTTAAGCCCACACTCTGAGGAACGCCCGACACAGTTCAGCGGCAGTTGTCGGCCTTTGTCGGACGTCATTCAGCCGTCTTTGAATCTCGTCCCACAGGAGCTCAATGGGATTTCAATCGGGACTGAGGGCAGGCCTGTCCATGGTTCTGAAGCCATTCTGCTGGAGGAAGTCTCTTGTTGCTCTTGCAGTGTGGGCACGGCCGTTATCATGCTTAAACTCGGCGACATGCCAAATGAGGTATGGCGTGTGATCGCAAGACTTGACCAATGTACCGAGTTGCTGTGACGTCATTGCCTCTTCCTGGACCGATGGTCTGGACGACCACAGGGCCAACCCTCTGTGCAAGACCAATTCCACCCCACAGCATGATGCTCGGACCATCCCACGAGTCTCTCTCAACAATTCAAGCATCCGAATAACGTTTCCCATGGCGTCGCCAGACTCTCCATGCCATCTGCTGTCGAGATAAAGTATCGGCTCTCGTCTGAAGAGAGGACTTTTCTCCACTGCTGTTGGCGCAAATGCTGGTGCTCTGTTGCCCACTGAAGACGGTCCCGGCGATGACGTGGTGTCAGAATGGGTCCTCGTTGTGGCCTGTGACAGTGGGGGTGTCTGCTTGTCAATCGTCGACGCACGGTGTCCGCACTTATGTGTCGCTGGTGTATCCCCATGGTTTGTCGAGCAGTTTCCGCAACAGTAACAAAGCGATCTTGAAGATGCTGTCGCACAATCTGACGATCATGTCGTCGGGTGCTGACCCTTGGTCTTCCACTACGTGGTCGATTATCTGTGGTGTTGGTGGTCTGGTACCGTTGCTGGAGCTGGTCCTCACGTGGCCTTGAAATGCATTGGCTACTTACCGGGCGGTTTGTCCAGCTTGCAATCGTCCAAGGGCATGGTGTCGCTGATTTCTTTTCAATCTTGGCATGTGGTAGCAATTCAATAACGAATGAATGTTCTCTGATCTGGGTGGATTTTTACAGAGCCAAAAATGGGGGAACGCATGTACATTTCAATTTGCACGGAACTCACGTGAATCGGGTTACCGTTGCCGTGATGCGTTTAGGTGATCGGTTTTATTGTATTCTGCTTTGTTTTTTCATTTCATTTTCCAAAAAAGGTAATGTCAAATTTTAGAAACTTGGACAAAAATTACCCAGATATTTAAATGTCAACTTTTCATGCAATGTTACAAGGGGTGACGCTTCTTTTGCGGTTCAGTATATATGCTGTGGTATGAAAGGACATAACAAAATACAAACAGATAAACACGGAATCAGCGAGACGCCAGAGTGAGTGAGTGAGTTGGGTTTAATACCACTTTTAACAATATTCCAGTTATATTACGGCGTGTCAGCTTAATGTGGGAGGAAAGCCCGATGTGATGCAGGTCTAAGACGTTTACCACTTCGGTGAAACCCACGAGCACGGGTATGGTGTTGACAAACCTAGAAACATAATCAGGGTGAACCGGGATTCGAACCCACAATCATAGGTTTCTGGCGTGTCCAGGGGACGCAACTCTGCACTGCGAATCGCGGCGCCCTTGACGACTGGGCCACCCGTGCCCCGCGGGACGTTAGCGAGAACACAGCTCC